AAATAGACATTGCAGTTGAACATATGAATACGGAATGAGCATATTCTCACTTCTGTACTGTAACCAGAATTTTGAGCTGACACTTTTGTTACCCCTAATACTATTAGTGCTAATGGAAAAGTGCCAAAACGTCAAACCATTTTCCACAGACATTAATACCAGATGTCTAGGAATGAGGATTAAGAAGTTTACTCTATATTTCTTATTGGATTTCTGACAACTTCACCTTTCCATTTATATAAGTCATGAAAAAAATACACTTTGAGCCCTTTCAGGTGATCTGGTAAAATTTTGTTAAGAACGTGTCTTTTAATTCTTGTCAATTTCCTCTCTTTTCTACTGAAAGAAAGAATACCCCATGCCTTCATATCTAATCTTTTGCATAGCAGGGAACAAAGAAAACAAAGTACATACCTTTTTTTAAAAAATAAAATTTTTTCACTCCATGCAGAATTCTGCACTATTTTCTCCAAAACCACATGTCTAGGGCATTTTCTGAGGTTTTTAAGAGATTCCCATTTTAATAACTTTGCAATGGATCCCAAGTGTAAGCAACATTGTCAGGAGAGCGACTATATGATTTGGCTGTGTCTGAATAGAGACAAGTAGAGAAATCATTAAAAAAAATAGGTAAAGTGTTCTGAAGTATAATAACCAGAATTTCAACCTGGACTACTCTTGAAAGAATCTTTGTAGAAAACATTAGAAGGCTAGATTGAGAAAACAGAAAAGACTAAAATAGATGGATAATATTCCATCAGGTGATTTCCTGTACGTAAGTATATGCAGCCTCCTTTTTTTTAAAACCATTCACAATACATACAAACCCAGTTGTAGAGGAACAGTTCTGAATTCCTGTAAGTTTACAGAACAGTGAATTTACCAAAGGTAAAACCTTAAAACTAAAAAGAAATCTATTTTAAAAACAACATTGCATTAAAAATCCATCAACTTTTAAGTGTTATAAATAAATAAAACAAAGAAACAAACAAAAGATATCAAACAACTCAGTATGAGTTAATCTGATAGATTGTCTTCTATTTTATAAAATTTGACCAAGAAATGGAACTGTCAGTTAGTTGTTCACATTTACTTCAATACTCAGAAAATTAAAAAGTTACAACAAGGAGAAAAAATACTTTTGTACTCCTTCACAACATCACACGCATTTATGTCTCAAAAGAATTATTGCCTTCTAGTAACTTGAAGCACAGGTATAACTTTTCATTCTTCTGCAAACTGCTCTCCCTTAATGACAAGATTCATTTATCAATATTTGCTTTCTTACTATAGCAATAGTGAAAGATCTAAAAGACAGAGGGAAAGATGAATAGACAGAGAGAATGAAATTCTTGACAACTGTATATTAAACAGGAACAAACTAGAAACAAATGGTGCTTTCTTGCCCTGAAGTTGAAAATGTTCATTTAAAAAAAAATGTCAAAAATATTAGGTAGCTTATTAGATGATACAGTAAGATTTTTGTTTGCCTCGTTTGTAAATATTAACTACCTATTTCTTGAAGAATGGTGATAGAATTTAAATGATAATAAAATCTGAGCTAATGTAGTAACTACAAAAGAGATTCAATATCAGTGTCATATAACTGGAAATGTAAGAGGGAGCAACAATAAAAAAATCTAAGGCATGATAGTAGTAGGAACACTATATGAACCTGTACAGAATGAAGCTTTTCTTCACAGCAGTGACCCATTAGTAGAGAGGATGGGAAGAAAAAGACTTATCCCTTTTTTAGCTCCTTTATCATTTTCCTGCTCCTAAAGGAACAAATCTTTTCTAAAGTAAAGGAGTTTAAAGGTGAAGCAACAATAGAGTGCTTTACAATTTTGGGCCATTTATTTGTCTACAAGAGGGACCATGATCCAATGGAAGAGTCCACAACACAAAGCAGAATGCTTTCCATTTCATTTAGTGGAATATGCTGATATACCATCTACAATATCTTACAGAATTTTGTTGGTTTTTTTTTTTTTTCCAGCAAAAGACATTTTCTTGTAGTTTGGTCATGAGATGAAGTAATTATAGCTATCTCTAGTGGAGAAAGGTGCAGCCTAAAAAACAGAGATATTCCTAATATCACACACTTTCTATAAACAAAATGTCACATTCTATGTCAAACTTTGTAAATTCCTGGTTTTTTTAAAAAAAAGATTTTTAAAAAAATTACTTGTGAGAAATTACACAATTTTAAAACCCATCATATTTTTATAATTCTGCTTATTTTAAAATCCTACAATATGTTTTTCAGTAGATGCAAGCATATGGTTCATGTAACAATACCATATGTCTGATAATATCTTGCTGTAAATTACAACAATAACAAACATTTTTAAATTGAAAAGGAACTCAAATTAAATTATTTTTCCTCTTATTTTTTTAAAATCTTTTTAATATTTTTGATGACATTTCTGAAAAAAGCTTATAAATTCCCAAACAGTTTAATATTTCAAACAAAGTTTTACAGAATGTTTTACAGTTATCAAAAACATGCATTCATTATTGTGGAAGAAAACTACTGTCCTTTATAAAAAGTAAATGAAAAATAAAAGCATGCATTCAAATCACAACATACTTAAGCTGCTTTTTCTTCACTAACACACATTGGCAAGTCTCTCTCATTCCTGAGAACATACTGAGTGTCGTTTTTTACCCTGTGATATTTAGTTTTCTATTAAATCCAGATGGAAATGTGAGATGAACCACAAACAAACCCATGTGAAACTCAACTTCCTTAAGACAAGATTGCATTTACAGTGATGAAAGGGGAATGATTCTGTATCCTTCTTTTAACTCATGCTGTGATAAAGAGTCAAAATTAAATTCAACTGTGTTAGGCTTTTCTCTGTATAAATTACTTATCAATATGCAAAGGTGTAACTATTCAGGATAATTCCCTCAACACAGACCCATAGAATAGCAAAAAGGTACAATGGCTTTTTTACATTGCATTAACACGATGGCCAAACATCACAGAAAAAATATGAGTCTGACCTCATTTAAAAAATGTGGAAGACAGATACTTTGGGCAAGGACACAGTTAGGAAAAAGAACAGCTGTGTCTGGAACAGACTTTAACCATCATAAATATAGGGAAGTTAAAATCTAAAATAGTCACTAGCCTGCACATGTATTCCTTCACTTGAATGAAAATAATAGTCTAGTAAAAGTCCTTATTTTCATAACTAATATTGACAACTAATCTCATCTCAACTTTAATGCTGATGGAGCTTTTTTATTTTTTTATATCTGTACTGATTTCTATAGTGTTGGTTTTGTTTTTTTTCCACAACATCTTCAGATTGATGCATTAATGAAAGGAAAATCTTCTGTCTTGAGAAAAGATAAGCGTGTATTTCGTGCCACAGGCAATAACCATAGTGAAGAAGTCATCTAATAAATAACAAATCAAGAGAAAAAACAGTTCTTCCTTAAAGATTTGTTAGGTCTGTAGACAACTTAAAACACATCTCACAAGTTCACATAAATATAGTAATCAAAGCAGTTTTTCTGAAGGAAGAAGAGTACCTTAACTTCCTAGCTTAGAATTTCTCTTAATTAAGTACACTCGCTGTATCACAGGTGGATGATAGCTTACATGTTAGACAAATACAGTCTTACTCTTTTCCTTCACCTGGTTGAAAGACAGCTTAGATCATATCTCTCCCTTTCGTTGGCAGCTTTTATGGTTGGCCAAAAGTCAGTAGAACAGTTTTCATGTTGAATAAGTTGTGGAAGTTGATACTCCAGCATTTTCTAGCAATTTTCCTGTCCAGGACATTCCATACAATCTTCTTATGGGGCAAAAGCTTATTTTCTTCTCTTCTTCAAAGGCTTTCTGGCCTCTAGATAGGACTAAATTTGTTCCACTCCAGGGCATAATACTCAAGTACATCTAATTTTGAATCAGCACCTGTTATGTCCCTAAGCAACAAGCGCAAGGAACACAGTGAATATTGGAAGAAATACTGGAAATGCTTATGAGTTTTCAGGTCTAATTTATATTTGTTCTGAAGGATAATTGAAGATTTGTGCTTTTTCCCTGAGAAAACTTTTTAGCATACACATGTATGCTAAAATACAGCTCTTGAATGCATGTTCCTGTGTCAATCATTCAAAGAAATTTTGGTTTATACTAGAATGCACAAGAGAATCCAGGATGGTTCTTGACTTTCCAAAATGCTCATGGAAGTTATAAAAAGTAACCTCACTTAAAAACATATACAGAAGCTATTCCTAATGCTGTGGCATTTGGTTTTAATATTATTTTTGTAATATTGTCAACACTTGCATGCGGCTACATGGCCTTTAAAATGCTACATAACAATGAAGTCACTCAACTTACTTTGGAAAAGGGGTTCTAAAGCATAATGGAGAGGAATAAATTTACATGAAATAATCTTCTTAATATCTAGGTGCCACAATTATTTACCTGCTTGTAAAAGAAATGCTATGATTTCTCTGACCTTTTCAAACATTGCTTTTTTTTTTTTTTAGGCAATTCCATAAAAATGACTGGTAGAATCCTTACCCAGGTAATTTTATTAAATTCATTTCCTTTTTCTTGACTAACAAGTGCAGGTAAGTGCAGGCAGAAGACAAAGAGTTCAGATTATGTTGTTAAAAGATGGCTTTGATCTAGAGAGACAGACTATTTAGTCATTCTCTGATTCATTATCATTAATATTCTCATTATGATATCCTAATCCAATCTAGTAGTAAATCTTACAAGGTTAACTTTTAAATGCTCAATAATAGAGTGTCATCAGTTTTCAGTAACAGCCTGAAGTTCACATGTTTAGTAATGACTTTTTCAAGTCAAACATTAATTTCATAGATATCTTTTAGCAAATAATTAAAGTAGCTGGTTACTAAAAAACGTTAGGATATTTTTACTCATCGTTAGCACAACTGACTGCTTATTTTTATATGCATTCATGCTGAAAAGAGTTTGCAGCAGCAGGAGATGATTAATCATTAAAGTTTATTGTAGTATAATAGTACAGTGAAAAGTTGCACCAAGAATGCAAATTTAAAAGTCTGAGGAGCAATCCAAAGTCACTAAAAGCAACACAATCACTTCTCCATTACTGTTCAAGTTTTTGCTGTGCTAGTGTCTCCAAGAGATGACACAGCTTGCCCTGAGTGTGCTTTGACTTGAACAGTTGAATTTCCTGAATGCCATCTACTGAAGCTGCTTACTTGGCCTTGAACTAAACATCCTGGAGAAATGGGAAATTGTGTGACTACAGATACAGAGAGCTAGTGATTTTATTTCAGGGAATTTATCTAACAGGGCCAGTTTGTAGATCTACTTTCTGCAGCTTCAAAAGAAGTTTCTCTCTTTTAGTTTGTCACAGTGAATTTCCCATTAGGGAAGTTTATTCACTGCCCTTTTTGTTGCTTGAAGTGATACTTCTGTTGGTCATAAACCTTATATTCTCAGTGGTTGCTAGCAGATATTTGTAAAAGCAGTAATAAACATTCCTTCCAGCAAAGGATATTCACAGTTCTGCAGAGGAACCTGCAATTCATTAAGAAGAACAATCTGTTGTGTATAATACAATATTGATGATGGAAAGATCACGGACTCCAGATTCTGGTTACTGCCCTTTACGTTACCATTTCCCTCTCCTGAGTAGATGCTGTAGTCACTTCTGTGACAGATTTCCCTCCCATCTTCTTAACACTTAGAAACTCTAAGTGAAGGACCAAATCTGGGGTAGGGAAGAGAACACACAGATGCACTCAACTTACTCTTTATGCATATAGGAATGCACAAGATGCGCCAGCCTCGCTGACATTTCTGTTGACTACATTTGTGTACTTTACAATACAAGAAATTCTATATCTTTAACAAAACATTAGTCCCAAAAACACTCCATGATCCACTTTCCTACAACTTTTATGTTTACTTATAGCTGTTCAGTGAATGTTAATGTAAAACATTACTTACAGTAAGATTTAGGGTTTTGAACTATTGTGATGTGTTGATCTTGGCTGGCTGCCGGATGCCTATCCACTTCAGTCTCACTTCTGTGTTTGACAGTGGAAGAAAATAAGGTCAAAAAGATGTTGAATTAAATACGAGAAGATAACTTATCAGTTACAGCAAAAGAAATCATCATGCTGACACTTTTTTTCAGTCAGTTAAGAAACATGCATCTTAAACCAAAATGAGCTTTTAAGGCAATACAAATAGAAAATCAAAAATGCTACATTTTTAATTCTTTCAACTTTTATACTTAAGTCCCTTTAAGAGCACAATTTGATATACTGCAATCTGTACGGAACTGTTCTTCAGTTAAGATCATAACAGACTTTGTCTGTAATTCATCCTCCCAATTCCAAAAATAAGTATTCTTTTATTTTTTCCAGTACTTTTGCAAAATTGGTCTCTGATAAGAAAACAAGAACCATGCAAAAATTTGGTATTCATTAAGGCAGCTGTGTGAGGCATATGTGGGTTCAAAAAGTGATTTGACTTTTGAAAGAATAACATGTTTTTGACATGACATCCTTTTAAAGGAAGGCTGAGCCTAGAAGCTCAGGACTTACTGTGTTTACTGAAAATGACATGAAACCGGGTATTGATTCACTGTACACTTAAAAAGACAGTAAGATTCTGTTGCATGATTTTTGGATTAAACCATATCTAAATAAGGTTATACTAAATTATGCCAGATGTACAGCTATAAAGGAAGAATGTCCACAGTTATACATAAAGCTATTACAAAAACATAATTGCTGTGATGACTTCTGTTTGGAATAGAGAATTCATATGAAAGAGAAACAGAAACTTCCGTTGAAATTGAAAAAATTCTATAGAAAGTACTTTTCAGTGCCAGACAAAACAAAAATATTATTTCTTAAAGAAAATATAACAACACAACAGAGGAAAGTATCATTATGAAACTGGATTACTGCGTCCAGTTCTGGGCTCACCTGTACAAAAAAGACAGGGATCTCTTGGAAAGAGTCCAGCAGAGAGCCACAAAGATGGTGAAGGGTCTGGAGCATCTCCCCTATGAAGAAAGGCTAAGTGAACTGGGTCTGTTTAGCCTTGAGAAGACTGAGAGGGGACCTGATCCAGGTCTATAAATATCTAAGGTGTGGGGGGCAAAGTGGCGAGGCCAGACTCTTTTCAGCAGTGTGCGGAGACAGGACAAGGGGAAATGGCCAGAAGCTGGAGCATAGGAAGTTCCGCACCAATGTGCACAAGAACTTCTTTACGGTGAGGGTGACGGAGCACTGGAACAGGCTGCCCAGGGAGGTTGTGGAGTCTCCTTCTCTGGAGATATTCAAGACCCGCCTGGACGCCTACCTGTGCGACCTGGTGTAGGGATCCTGCTTTGGCAGGGGGGTTGGACTCGATCTCTTGAGGTCCCTTCCAACCCCTACGATTCTGTGATTTTACCTGCATAGTTTCTCCAAATTTATTTCGAAAGGTTTCTTTTTTTAAAAAGCAATAACATCAAATGTTTTATTTTCTTTCATTTTATATTGTTTCCGCCAACAAACAACAACAAATCTTTTGCTTCACTTCATAAAACAGAAACAGATCAAAATCAACTTCTGTTTGCTTATCGTTGAACTGAGTGTGGATATAGAACCAATCAATAAAAAACTGATACTGTTACAGCATTTTTTATAGTATTTGTACTGAAATACTTGTTCTAAGTTTTCAGTAATGTATACACTTGAAGGATTAAAACACGTGTGTCATATAAGGCACACTTTACTGAAGCTTCACAAAAACATGAAGGCTTTTCCTCAAAGAGTTAAGTCTTTCACATTACATCTTATGTAATAGACCGTAGCATACATCATACCAAATGCGTATAAAGAGATGACCTATATTGCAGCATTTCAAGTATTCCAAGAGTATGCGTTCGGAAGTTAGGAAACTACAGAATCACAACCTTAACAGATCATGAGTACCTTTTCTATTTCTTGTTGCACAGTCTTCAGCTTTGTGATAGCATAATAATGTTTTAAGATTCTTCTATCAGGATGATTGCCTGTTATTTAATAATACTCAAAGCTATACTTTGTTTCTTTTAGACTTTTTAATGCATACCTTATTTAATGGAGTCATATCAAATTCAGAAGAATTAATTTTTGCACCAACTTTCCTGTTCCAATCTGAAAAGTAATACTAGAAATCTTCACAAGTATTATCCTCTTACTGAATTTACATTCACAACAGTCCTCAGAAATAAGATGAATATTATTGTCAGCTTTACAGATGTGGAAATGAGTTGTAGAGACATTCTGTAGCTGAGAAAGCATATGCAGATACCCAGTTTGTAGAACCGGATTTAACAGTATGAATACCATATTATGTTCAAATTATAATTGTTATACCATGGAGTCTTAATATTTATATAAGTGTTGCTATGCGGATCTCAGAAAATGGAAAAGTGAAAGAAAATGAAATTTCACTTTGCTGTAAAATTATTTTTCACTTTTATCACGGATGAATCTAGCAGAAGTGATAAGTTCATCTCAGCTCAGCTGTAAACTCTAGCTTAGGTTTTTCAAAATCTGTAGATGGATTACACTGTTTCGGCAGCCTGTATTGGTTCATCAAGCTGAAGCATTCTGGGTCTTCCAAGGGATTCAGTAGTACCCACGGGTTCTTTTGCTCCCAAGCATACTATGAACAGCCAAATACTACTCAATAAGTTTAATTTTATCAAAACAATTCAGCAACGTAGCTCAGTCATTAGCACCTAGTTTTTGACATCTTATTTTTTTAAGCCATTGTTGAGTTATATGCAAAAATATATGCAAAAAATGATGCCTTTATGTTTTAGCTAGATTTTCTTTGATCTCAAAATATGACTGTTTTTTTAAGAACCAGCATTTCGGCCACTGAAAACACACTTTAGGTAAGCTGAAACCTCAAAACATTTACAGTTTTATTAGTGCGCTTCTTCATCAAATACTTTAATTAGTAAAGCCCTGTCCCTTTGTACAGGTTTTAACAACTTCTTGCCAAGGCTTTAAATGTTTTCTTTCAGCATGTTCAAGTATAGTCTAAAGGGATTAAACTTTCTCTGGCCATTACTTTTTCTGCTTGAAGTGAAGGCAATTATTTTGCCCCTGAGGACTGTTTTAAGGGTTTCCTACAAGCATTACCAGTGAGACCTCTTGATTCTTATTAATTTGCAGGAACTTTTCATTCCTATTTCCATGACATATTTGAAAGGTGAATCTTATAAAAGAAATTTGTTAAGCTGCCATGAGCTAGTGATCTGGTGCTTTCTGTAAAGCTTGTGAGAAAATGATATGACAGAAATTCTTCAGAATATTATATTGTCGTATGCTCAGCAAAAGAGATGGAAGTCTATTTTGGACTGCATAAAAGCAAATATATTTTCTGGTCTTACAATGCTGTCTTTCTAGGCATTTGTCAGGCCTCTTATTAGAAGGCTACTCTTTTCTGAGCTTTTTCACACTGAGTTTTAAGCTCATTTAAAATCTTTTACTCCTATCCTTTAGAACAGATCATGCAAGATGTTGAAACAGGCAACTTGTACATTTTAGAGCTGCAGGTTCTCCTATGGAGCTGGAAGTGAACAACGTTTAGATTTCTACAGGAGTGTTGGGAACTTTCTGTGTGGAAGATGCATATTTCTACTATGTACATTCAAACATATGTACTACATTTCCTCTTCTGATTCCGCACAGAATATGATGTGTTACTGCACCTTATATTACAAATGGGTTCCAAATGCTGAGTGCAAACATGAATTCAGAAACAAAAGAGTGTATTACCTGAAAATTTATGAACATGAGATTACTCCAGGAGAGTAACTCCATTTTCTAGAGATAAAAATCTAGGTTACTTTCCCTGCCTAGGACATAGAAAAGTAGATAGCTGCAGACTTTTACCTTCCACTGTTATATGTATTTATCAATTTAAAAAGTTATAGCAAAGGTTTTAAATAAGAAGGGAGAGGAGAGAGGGAAGGAGAAAATATTTCCCTCCCCTTCTCCAAATAAAGAGAAAATCCTAGCTAAATACATAAGTATTTGTCAAATTACTTTTCAGTAAGTGAAATCAAGCTTCTTTGTAGGCTTCCCACAAGTCTTTGTGAGAAAGCTCTGTTGAAAATAGTAAAAAAAAACATTCAGAATTCAACATGTGTTCCAGTATATGTTCAGCATTTTCTTTTCATTAGTCTTGGCAATCTTTTCAAGAGAAGAGAAGTTGCATAATTTGAAACAGCAGTTAAGAACAACAAAAAAGTTGGAGGACAAGCCAATGAAATCAAAGACAAGAATCTATTCCCCCTTCCACTCTACAAGAGTGTGTGTGTGTCTTCACAGAGCCAATACCTCCCACTACAAGATTTTGTGTACAGGCATTTATGACTGCCGAGCCAGACTGAAATCTCTCATGCTGAGTGCCTTGCCATACAGAGTGAACTTGCGTGGCTGGCAAAATTCAAACTGGTTTAGTTCTTTCCAAGAATACCTATGAAAAATGTTGGCTGGCCCACACTAAAACTTTTCAGTGACTTTTTTTTTTTTTTTAGAACTTATGTAATCTTATGCTTCAAACCTGAAAATTGGCAAACTATTACAGCGTATAACTTTTCTGTCACAAAGAAATCTGTTTAAACTAGACTGCGAAATATAAGATTAAGCAGTAAAGCATCAATTGGAGACATTTGATAGAGTTGTCTTTCACACACTCTGAGGATTGTCTTTTTTCAACCCACACCAAACTTGCTTCAATTTGGTATTAAGAAAAGAACAAATTTCACTGTAGTTTGAACAATACTAACTGAGAAGTCTATATAGAAATAGTGACAAGACTCATTGGAACACGAGGAACATCTACATTTGTGTTACTGGAAATGGGCTTGTGAGAGAAAACAGCTGCAGGATCAGATAAGATAGAAAGTGCAAAGCAATTAGAAGCAGGGGAAGAGATGTAGTGATTCTACAGAAAGGAATAATCTGTGAATATGGAGAACAGGTGAAAATGCTGGAACAAGCAATTCTGGAGAAAGGAGATGAGGATATGCTGGTATTGTGTGCAATGAGGACCTTGGCATACATAACAGAGGTCAACAACATACAAAGAAATACAAGTTGGCAAAGGCAGTTAGGAAGAGAGTTACTCATATTTAACTGGGAAAAACAAAATAAAACTATTTTTATTAGAGCCTATTCTGCTTTCAAGACCAAAAGAACACTCAATTTTTGAACCCTTTTTTTTTTTTTTACCTGTGAAAAGTAGTGATAAAATATTCTGTTCTCTTTCTACACAGTAATTTAGAGAAGCTTGCAAGAGAAGACAAGAATTACTTCTGTCAGCTCAAAGGATAGATAAGAACAGCTAAAGTTCTGCCTCTGCATGTGGTTAGTAATAGTTATTTGGAAAGAGTGTAAGAAGAAAAATTATAAAGATACTGGAAATACATGCTCTAAAAATGGGGTCTATACTCATATTCTGTATAAGGGGACATTCTGCATAATGGAACAACAGAAACTGATTTCATTACTATCAAAAGAAACAAGAAGTAGAATCCTGCTCAAATTATGAGTTATATCAATATAATATAAAATTAATAAAAGTAGATCTAAAGCAAACAGATGTAAGTAGTACTCATCTTTGTGAGTGAGCAACTAAAGAAAGACTACTTCAATGAACTGGATATACCCATGAAAAAACACTGAATTAGAAAGCCCCCATGGTTAGAATATTTTAAGCAGTTTTAAAATATTATCTCATATCTGTTGTTGGAGAGCTGTTTCCTCCTCTAATTCTTGTTTTACCTATTCAAAAGTGTCTTGGCTTTACTCCTTTGTTTCATGGGCTTTCACTTGGTAATCACCCAAGAAGTATTAAAGGTTCTCATTAAGAAGGAAGCTTGGACTGGCTAAGTTCAGAAGATCGTTGTTAACATTCCTCTTATTCAGTTGTCCTTCAACAAAAAACAGTATTTTGTGTTTGGCATTACTCAGTCCAGACTGAATCTTGTTTCTGTTAGTCTATATGGATATAGACTCACATATGAATCAAATACAAACGGGATATTTCTGCCTATACTGCACCTTTAAAATTATCAGTCATGAAAATAGAACTAAATCACTCAGGCAAGTCTTCGTACAAGCTTTTTCTAACTATCCTAAATGTATATATTTCCTACTGTTTGCAATTATCGCTGATGCTCACACAAAATGTATCTATTCCGAATTACACATATGTATACAAACGTGAGGAGATATTTTTTCCTACTTTTTATCTGTTAAATAAAGTAAATATGCAGGTATACACTTTTTTCCTTGAAGTTCACTCCTAACTTATAGTATACATTAAAAAAAGAAAGTTTTGAACATTTAAACAACTGGGCATCCACATGGAAACATAATGCAACATGCAACAAGTAGGGGACTATAACAAGAGGTTCTCATACAAGTAGAGTTTGGAGCCACTTAAAATTCAAATTATGTCAACTATGATTTATAGAGGGAAAAAGGATGAATACATATCCAGCAGCCTTTTGATAACACCAGCAGTGAAAGTCATGGATCATGAAAACATCAGGAAATATAAGAATTTCTAAGATGTATTATCTTTGATGTTGTATGGTTAGGTTAGAATTCTTTCATCTTGATCAGAAGATGAAGGACAGGAATTGTTTCTGTTTCCTACATGCCTCTTAAAGATGAGGGCTATAAACAGGTTTCAGAAAATTCATGATCTCAGATTCTCAGACGTTTGGAGCTGAACAAAGATATTTTTACCTGTCTCCTGTCAGCTTTGCCCTTTTGGACAGCTACATACCATGTTTCTTGTCTAAGAAGTTCTAGTAGCAATGACTTGGTGGGTGAGGTGATCACAGTTCCTGTAGAAAAAAAATCTGATATTAAAATGAAATGAAGGTTGCTGTGCTTTGCAAATATTGATGAAACCTATCTTGTCTGTCTTCTGTCACACCACACCTGACAGAAATAAGTCACCACAGGAGTGAGTTAAGCATTCATCAAGTACAAATGGGTCAGACATCTAAGTCATCTCAAAATAAAAAAAGTTTTTCAAGGAAACAAAGTAATAATGCATTACTTAATCGGTAAATAGGTAATTAGGGTGATTGTACTACTAGAGATAATTTAATATCAGCAGTGTTTAAACATACAGTAGCATTTGTTACTAGCTGGAGTTTGAGGCTTCTTTGGTATACGTATGTTTACATTTGTAATGAGAAATTGCAGGTATTTATTACTGAATGAACCTTGTTATCAAACTAAAATAGGACCCAGATGATAGTTAAAGGGCTGAGGAAAATGCAAGACTCCTGAAATAAAGTGTAACCCTGTCTCAGTTCTCCTTTTAACAGTTTTGCAAACAATTCAGTGAAAAAAAAAAAAATTAGTTTACATGTTTTACAGAGGATCAAGCCTTTTTCGGGAGTAGCAGTAATTAAAGGAAGCAATAGACAAAGACAGTCAAACACCGCTTTGATGATATAGTTAACAAGTTCTCAGCAAGTCTCCAGCCAAGTTAAGACACAGACAGCAATGAATATGGAAGTGAAAACAGTCTTGACAGAGTAGATAAAGAGCAGCAAAGGTCTGTTTCGAATGAAAGGGACTTCATCAGGAGGTTGTCAGCTAGAACAGGAAAAGAATCCATCAGCTCTGAAGCTGAAGACTGAGATTGAGAAAGGCAGTATCTGTTTGTTCAATTATACTCATCACTGGATTTCTTCAGGACTTCTGTATTGCTGAAAACACTGAAGGCTATATTAACTTTTATAGTATAAGGCTATATCTCAAAAGTAGAATGGTCAAAAAACTTCTTGATAATCAGCTGGTAGAAATAAAGGCTAGGAGAAGTGATTCAAAGAAAGTTTTGTTCCTGTTTGGTTGCTGACACAGTCTGAGTAAAAATTATTGGCCACAGAGGGAGGAAAAACAAAATAGACTATTTTGATTCAGAATGCAGGGATTCATTCAACATATGTTTCTAATATTTATATAGCTTAAAAAAAAAATCTGAAATTACACAAAGGGAGCCCAGCTTTTTACTTATAAAATACTCCTACATGTAAAGCAGAATCTCTTGTGCTTTGTAGTCCCCATTCTTTTGAAATGTCAGTGTGCCTTTCCTTATCTAGCAGTTTGCTTTTTAAAGTCTGCCTTAGAATTACTTGGTCTCCTCAGGCTAACAGGGGAACTGCTGAAATTATAGCATAATGAGCCATCTGCAGACCATCCAGAACAGACCTAAGATAGGGCAACAACCTACTTGGGGACTTTGAAGAACATGAATCCAACTTTCTAGTTTAAGTACAGATAACCAGTTTCCTAATCTAGCCACCTATGTTCTCCATAGTTCTGCATTGTGAAAGTTTATTCTAGGCTAGCAACTGGTGCGATTATTACAAAATCTATTATTCAAGGAGTTAAGTATGTATAAAACTCAATATTTCACGGGATTGCTACAAAGTAAAGAAAAGTAAAGTGAATGTAAATCTTCGTGTTCTAAAGAAAAAAGACAAAAACAGCATAAGGTATTAGAAGATGCACGAATTTTTACACTGACACTTTCAGCTCCTGAGGCATATCCTTTAAGAGTTTACATATGATATTTTCTAAATCCTACCAAAAAAATTTATAGTTTTATTTCTTAATGAGACTGGTTTTTTTCTAATATTGTCCTAAAATGAGGATTACAAGGTGATAGAACAACGTAGACGCCTATTGCTATTTTCAAGAGTTAAGTAATCCATTAAATAACAATACAGCTAGAAAAAGATCCCAACATACAGATTCATATGTAAATACACCTAATAAATTACCTTCAAGAGCAAATAGCTCTCTCCCTCAAGCACACAGAATAATCTGAAAGATCTGAAGCTATGTAAAAACTAGCCTTGTTGATTACTATATATTAGTGACTAATGAAATCAAGAAACATTTCAAAACAAAGACAAACTTTCAAGAACAAGACTCTGAAACAGCACGTTTACAAAATTCACTAGAATCTTTTTATATATCTAGTAGAAATCAAATATTAAGTTATTCTTTTTGACTACTTACACTGTTGTTTTTGTTATCAAAAGTGATTTTTTTTTTTTTTTTTTTAATTCAGCAAGTTCAATTTTTGAGACATATTGAGCTATAAGAAGCTCTTATGATCCTCCTCACATTATGGTAGTAGAAAAATTACTCAATGAGTTTTACTTTATCTGCCTGTGAGATAAGGTTGTCATCATGTTCTCATTAGGTACCTATGTACAGCTATACAATTAACAAATGCACAGTTAGAAGACCGGTATAGTTCAGATAGTATTTTACAGGTTTATAGTTAGAAAGATTATCACAGTGAAAAGAGACAATCAAAAACAGAATGCTCACCTGCTCCCAAGGCTTGCAGCTTAAAAAAAAAACAAAAAAAAACAAAAAAACCAAAGAAACAAACAAACACACAACTCCAAAAGGAGGGCTCTCCAAAAGGAAATCCTTTTCCAATGGCAGTCAGCCCTTAAATAGGATCTAGGAGAGGTGGAGACAGGCTCCATCCCTTCTGGTCACGCAGCTGAATTGCCGTCATCTGTGCTCCCATGGTTGATTCAGTCCTTGCCTCAGGTGATCAATCAGTGGTTCAGGCCATGACTCAACAGTTTCTATATACTATCATAAAGAAAATTTAGAGGATATGAAATTAGTGTTAATCTTTCTTCTCAGGGGCAGCTTGTCCATAAGTAAAAAGGACTTAAAGATGAATAATCAGTATTTGTAGTTTATTCAGAGATCATGCGGTCAAATCTAGCATGCCTAGTTTTAAAGAAAAAAAATACTATTTCATTTTTTTTTCTATCTATCTCCTCCATTTTAAGCATTTTACCTATAAATAATATAGTATATAATTTCTGATTATTTTGCCACTGCAAAATCACAGAATTGCAGGAGTTGAAAGGGACCTCCAAAGATCATCTAGTCCAGCACCCTGCTAAAGCAAATTCTTTGGAGTAGGTTAAACAAGAAAGCACCCAGGCAGGTTTTTAATACCTCCAGAGAAAAAGAATCCACAACCTCTCTTGGCACTCTCTTTTCCAGTGGTTTGTCACCCTCAAAGTAAAAAAGTTCTTTCTCCTGTTCAGATGAAACTTCCTGTGCTCCAGTTTGTGCCCACTGCTCCTTGTACTGTTGCTGGGCACTACTTGACTCCTGCCCTTTAGATACTTAGAAGCATTGATAAAATCCCCACCCAGTCTTCTCTTCTTCAGGCTGAACAGTCCCAGGTCTCTCAGCCCTTCCCCAGAAGAGAGATGTACTAAGCCCCTCGCTATCTTTCTGACCCTCCTGTGAACTCTAGAAGTAACCTGTCTTTCTTAACTGTGGAGCTCAGAACTGGACATACTACCCCAGATGTGGCCTCAGCAGGGCAGAGAAGAGAGGAGGATCACCTCTCTTGACCTGTTGGCCACTGACTTTTTAATGCACACCAGGATGCCACTGGTCTTCTTGGCCACAGTGTCAGTCTACTGGGTCATGGACAACCTGGTGTCCACCAGTTTACCCAGTTCCTTCTATGCAGAGCTCATTGCCAGCAGGTCATCTCCGTATCTGTACTGATGCATGTGGTTATTCTTCCCCAGACTGTAGATTGTAAGAATCTACACGTCCCCTGTTGAATCTCATCAGATTCTTCTTCACTCTACTTTGCAGCTTGTTCAGGTCTCACTGAAAGGCAGCACAGCCTTCTGAAGTGTCAGCCACTCCTCCCAGCTTTGAATCATTAAGTGTGTAAGAAGTGTGATCCAGTTTAGGTTTAGGGAGAGAACGTCCCTTCTTCTACCTAATACAGTATTGGTAGAAAACAAAAATGAGGGCAGCTTTACATTTATTGTGCTATTAAATATCTGTCAAAATGGACACATATTAGAAAATCAATTTCTCTTTTAAGATACCTTATGTATTTAATTTCTTTATGTCATATAGCATGGACAAGCATGCTATCCATACAGAACAGTTCCTGCTTGCCAACATCCTACAGCTGAACACTGAAATAAACAGATTCAACGGTTTAAGTAAATATAAGTATTTTCTGTTCTTCTGATTATACTTTACATTCTCTACCTTTTCTTTTTTCTTTCACACTTTTGAATAGTGTATACAAATTCTTGATTGTCAAACTGCTGTGAGGAAACTTGATCAACTATCAGCTCCCAGCTTCTACATTATGGTAGTCAGTTCAGAAGATGAACAGCCCACCATACATCCTAAAAAAAATTACTAAAATATCTCTATATATACTTGTTTCGCTCCTGAAAGGGATGAAGATTTTTGATTGCTTATGACAAACTTCTGGGAGGACTTTCTGACATAAATGTCTTGATCAAACCTGTAGGAATATCCATGTCTCAGAGAGTTACTGAAATACTTCATTTCTGGGATGAAGATATGTAAAAGCAGCTGCAGGTAGAGAAGAAAAATTCAGGAAACTCTAGAGACAACCTTATGATATCAATCTGTTATGATAATGCAGTTTCATGTAAAGATTTACTTACTTCTTGTTGACTGAAATACCTTGTTTGTTTGTACCATTGTCTACCTTAGACTGTGTATTCTTTAAGTACTGATTTTGTCAGATGAATAGACAAAAAGGCGAATGTAGTTATAGATTTCAGAAGAACAAATGATTAATTAGTAAAACAAACAAGCAAACAAAGCAGGAAAAATAAAACAAACGTTTGCCTAAGAAAAGAAAACATTTGTAATGGCTTCTCTGAGTATACCCCTTTTTAAAGTCAAATTTTGCCTCCCCACAGCCATCAACAACTTGGGAAATGCTGATCCACACATCTGAATGCTAAATTTTGATTCAAATTAGACTTGTAAG